AGTTATGTTCATGTTTTTTTTTATTTCATGAATAATTTGTGTTATTTTGCGAAAGTTTAATGATTTATTTTTCTCTATTGTTTAGGTGAAGTGGTAGAACATTATGTCTATTGTCGATGTGTAATACTAAAGTATACCGTAAATTTAAAGAACGGATTTTATCAAACTGTTATTTTGTTCTCCCCCATTGTTAACGGAAATCTTAAGTATAACTGCAATAAGCATTAGCCTATATACTTATATGCCAACCCCGTAGGAAGGAAGGGTACTCTGCTAGTTGTATATACCATTGTTAGCTACAAAGTATCTGGTTCGATAGGCTTCACCTGATAGGTCGTTATCAGTCAACTTGACCTTGGTGTCGAATACAAAGCTCACAAGTGATAACGAGCTACTTGTGATGAACGATTAGCACGTCTCCCCCTCCCACCATCACAATCACCCCCCTCCCCCCCATGACACTCAACCAACCCTGGGTCTCGAAACCTAAAGTACACTTCAAGACCTGTCATAGACGCTTCGCAACATTATCATAAACTCACATTTTACAATCACAAGTATTTCGATAAGACATCTTGAAGTTTCCTTAATATTTGAATGACACGACTCCCAGATAAAACTATTTTTACAAATTGACTAAGCATTGTAAGGTTATAGACAGCTAATTTAAGTATAATCTTTATTAAATTATTAAACAAAATGAACATGAATGAAGGAAAAAATACTTCACAGAATACAAAATAGTAGATCGTTCTGTTTGAAAGACCGACTTTTAGAGTAACGACACTACCAAGCCGAGATTTGACAATGGCAACAAAAACATATTTCCAAAAGCTATGCCAATGGAAATAAACTTTATTTCATGACTCTACTTTTTGAGATGACACATAAAATAATGATGGAGCTGTCATCCTACACACGTCCCAACTGATGGTGCTTGTTTTATGGAAGGTCATGCACGAAAACAAACAACCATTATAACTTTTTGTCACGCGATATGACATTGCCAGTGTATTGTAAAAAACACACCAATAGTGGTGTACAGTGTGTGTAGTGAGGTAGATTATTACACAATCGGGAATTAGGTGAGTTTTCCGTTAACCACTGTTTGTGTGAAGGTTAGTTGTAAGAATCCATGTTGAAAGTATTGACGGCAAAAAACATGGTTTTACCATAGATTAAACATTGTACAAAATGGATACAATATTCTTTTTTAATTTAAATTAATAAATTGTTTGGAAAAGTTTAACTAACAAATCAATCTAAATTAAAACAGAGAAACTGTATGGTAGGCCTAATTCCTTGCCCTTTGCTACCATTGAAACCAATCAATTACTTATCAATACTTATAAATGCCCATGACACTCCGCAAGTTTAAATTTGTTGTTAACCTTAATTTCAGCCTCATCCTCATTCCTAAAGTCAGCATTCACTGAGAAGAGTCAGTATTACAGCTTTTTTAAGATCTTGGAAGCAGGTCGCATCCCCATGCCACAACTAGCATTATTATCAAATCACAGTTCATTCTTGTGCTGTACCGGCTAGCCCCAGTTCATTATTGTTCTGTACCGGCTAGCCCCAGTTCATTCTTGTTCTGTACCGGCTAGCCCCAGTTCATTCTTGTTCTGTACCGGCTAGCCCCAGTTCATTCTTGTTCTGTACCGGCTAGCCCCAGTTCATTCTTGTGCTGTACCGGCTAGCCCCAGTTCATTCTTGTTCTGTACCGGCTAGCCCCAGTTCATTCTTGTACTGTACCGGCTAGCCCCAGTTCATTATTGTTCTGTACCGGCTAGCCCCAGTTCATTCTTGTTCTGTACCGGCTAGCCCCAGTTCATTCTTGTTCTGTACCGGCTAGCCCCATTTCATTCTTGTTCTGTACCGGCTAGCCCCAGTTCATTCTTGTGCTGTACCGGCTAGCCCCAGTTCATTCTTGTTCTGTACCGGCTAGCCCCAGTTCATTCTTGTACTGTACCGGCTAGCCCCAGTTCATTTTTGTTCTGTACCGGCTAGCCCCAGTTCATTCTTGTGCTGTACCGGCTAGCCCCAGTTCATTCTTGTTCTGTACCGGCTAGCCCCAGTTCATTATTGTTCTGTACCGGCTAGCCCCAGTTAATTATTGTGCTGTAGCGGCTAGCCCCAGTTAATTCTTGTGTTGTACCGACTAGCCCCAGTTAATTATTGTGCTGTAGCGGCTAGCCCCAGTTAATTCTTGTGTTGTACCGACTAGCCCCAGTTAATTATTGTGCTGTAGCGGCTTGTCCCAGTTCATTCTTGGGTTTTACAGACTAGCCCCTTAATTTGCTTTATATGTTCCTTACGAGTTGCGTTGACAGGTAATCGTGGGTAAAAAGAGAAAGAAAACAACTGTTATAGATGAAGCAACGAATCCATCAAGAAGCTATTACTCCCTGACCCATACACAAACCCAAAATACATTATTTGTATCCATGTTAAACCAATTAATGAAAACTAAAAATAAACATAATCGTTGAGATTCTAATCCAATACTTAAAAACGGCAAATCTTAAAGATTAAAATATAAATATATTTATATAACTGATCAAGCAATAAATCCAAACCCCGTTTACATTCAAACACATATTGCACAACCAAGCAACAAATCAAAACCCAAGATGCATTGCCAACATGTTGTTTACTCAAAGTGACCAAACTCTTGACCGAAAGGTGTGAAGTACAAAATAAATAGTGGATGCTTGTGCGGTCGCGCGCCAGAATCGATGTGCTTGCGCGCGCGCAGTCGCTCGTTTTCGCGGGAGATTTCAGTGGGGTAGTGCCGTGGGGAACCTTCGCCCAAACACACCCCTAAACCGTCCAGGGTGTACATGACATGGTTCCGGTTTGGGGAAATCTCTATTAACTTGTGAACAGTGAGATGTTAGTTGGAGAAGAAAGAAGTTCAGAGGACCTGTGATTTATTTAGGTTTGTGAGTTTGGTTAGTTGCATGATTGATTCAGATAATTTATTTTCTGGTATTGATGACAGTGATGCGTTTTGATTAAATGTTAGTAATGTTTCCATTTTTTATGTTATGAATAAGATGGATACCTAATTAAACTGTTATCAGTTTACTCTCTGATGTAACTGGAATAAAGTCAAAATTTTGGATTTAATTTTAAGGTATAAGCTAAATTTGAAAATAACCTTTTAGTGTCTTTGATTATGCACTGTTTTATAGTTTTGTAAACGATAAAAAGGTACACCAATTAATCTGTAACCATCCCATATTGTCTAAGTTTCATGATTTATGATTCATGACTGTATTTAGCAGTTAATTAAATTGGTCAATTTCACTAAGATTTCTCTTAAGTTACGAGATATCAGATTGTATACAGTATAGGGTTTGTATTTAAATCAGAGAGTGGCTGGTTCGATTTTGATGACGACCGATTCTTAAATAAGTCGACATTATGCTCGGGATATAAATTAACTATTATTTTTAACACGTTAAAATAAATGAGCCTTCAAAGTAACGATACTAGGGTTTTGGGCATTTCACAAAAATCCCTGAAAAACTACTACTGCCATAAAATCGCACAAATAAAACAAATAATCATTTATAAATCTTTTAAATGACCAGGAATTATCATAATCTGCAAGAACTGTAAGCATTGTACATTTTCTTTACACGTGAATATTTTTTAACCGGTATTAAAAACTTTAAACAACGTTCCCAATTTAAGTTATTACTACATAAATACAAGTTTATCTAGTAATAACAGTGCGAATATCATAGCTTCATACATCTCAAATTGTCTGATGATGAAGGTACCTACAGAATGTTAATTATAATTTGTGCATCTTTGCAGCTTCTTTTCTTATTAAAATTACCTTATTACATGGGCCTTGTCAACAATTAAAACCTTCTTATGAAAGACTTCAATTGTGGGTAGCGTAGTATTTGAAGACTCAGTAAATTTAATGTATGCTATATTTTTTTATCAATGTTTTACCATTTATTCTGGAAACTAAAATTATTGTTATTTAATACTAAACCTAATTGTACTGTCGATACAATTTATATTGTCAAGACAATAAAGTATTTATTTATTTATTTTATTATGTTTATAGATGTAACTTCGTATGCATGATAAACAGGATTTCTTAAGAACCAAGATATTCTTGGTGACACTATTGATGAATTAGGTGTTTTAGTATTTATAATGTATGTAAACATGTATTTCTATGAAACTTTTCCGAGTAGCTAAGCAGCTTTATGGGTTGCCATGCTGGTGACGAAATAACATCGAATTATAAACAGAAAATCAAAACAAATGGAAGAAATTTCAATCACATATTCTATTTACAGCGTGGGGTGAAAATAGAGAAGTCTGTACATTAGATATTTTTGGTCGAGTTTCTAATTAGTTCAAAAACTCCATAGACCCTGCAATCACGTCCAGCTGAAAATGCGTTCCCAAAATACGTTTTATTGCCATGATTAATCTTATAGTCGTGCGTATAATCGTTTTTGTAAATCCTTCCGAGTATATAAAGTTTGATAATCATTCAATAACCTACCTGTGCTAGATCATTAGGCTTTTGAAGAATTATTCTGACACGATTTACACCAGTTGGTCGACAAATTATGTCGATCATCTTTTTAAATTAAATAAATAATAAAACCCTCTTCGTCGAAAGGTTGTTGAAACAACAAGCTGCGATTACATTCAACACTGAGGGAGGTTATGCACCCAGCAAATGAGCCTCATAGTAACAAAATACCCCCGCCCCAGCAAACCTGCAGGCTAAGCGAATTTCAATTTGTACGTTGGATTTCAACTAAAATAAACAAGTCATATTAATAACAAAGGACGGTTAATATGTCACAGTCATATTAACACTGACGGACTGTGTGATATGAGGGGGGTCAAGAGGGAAGGGGGGACAGACAGTGATAACAGCAGTGATAACAACAGGTGTGGAAGGACTGAATGAGTCAGTCGGTTATCTGTCTGATTCCGTCAGTGAGTTAGTGAGTTACAGCACACTGATTGGTGCTTAAAACATCTGATTATATTTCTCGTATAACTCGTTTCCGTGCACTACATCAGCTGATATTATTAGTTATTGTTGGTATAAATTAATGCAGTAGACGCCGCAACAATGCAACCAGCTGATTCCATATGTGATGTTTAGGACAGTAGTAAGAGTACATATTTAGCTAAACGATGAACGTGAACCAGTTTTATTGTTGTAAATAGTTTAGTTCACACCAACAGAAGTAAGGATACAAAGACTTGGAAGTTGAAAATTGTACCTAAAGGGGTTATATTGTGTTGAAGTCAATTTTCTATGACGGTATGTATTTTCTAAGCTTATTTATCTAGCTAAGAATGTAAATAGAATCGTAATGCATATATCATCTATAATTTATAAATAGGTGGAATACTATTATTTTATACTATACAGTAATACAGTACATGATTACAATAGTACCCATATTGATACGACCTTGACCTTGGTTTATTTGGAAGAATAACTTTACCGTTCATTAAAAAACATAGGTATGTTAAGTATTTCGCTCCTTACCTTTTTACCCCCTGTTTGTTGATTTAAAATGTAAAGACAACCTCAAGACCAGTAAAAAAGTTTTAGTGAGTAATTCGGTTTGCTGTTATAAGGAAGATATTGAGGTGAGTTTTTGATTGAAATGTTGATAGCTTGGTATGAAGTAAAGAAAATTGCAAAATTTAATTAAAATATATCCATAAACAAGCAAACTACAACAGTTTATCTATTCTCCATAAAAATAACATAGGAATTTTAAATTTACAATTTGTTTACCATCTCATCCGTGACCGTTGGCCATACAACAACGCTTCAACATGCAAAATTATTTCTTTTTTAAGCTCTACAAAAGGTTTGAAGAGAAATTATAAAATTGTGTGTTTTTAGGGTCAAACATGTGAAAAATAAATGTTTACCCCATATAAACTCCCACAAACCACCGTTCCCATAGTCCGATTACGCTGGTTCGCGAACCCGTTAGAATAAACGTAGGTTTATAGGTATTCAAATATGACTGGCCATAGAAATCTCAGAATGCATAAATAAATTGTAATTTTAAAACATTGTATTTTCCCTTTATTATTTGAACCATGTTAGAAGTGTATTTGAATTTGTACCAACTATCCGTTTGAAATAAACGCACGCTTTTGTCAAAGTGTAAAACGCAGTTCGCAACGCACATAAAATACAATTAGACAACAAATGATCGGAAGTGAGGCACGCCCGGTTAGGGAAGCCCCAAATTATTCGATTGTCCAATCTCTTAATTACTTTTGGATGTTACAATTCTCAATTTAAATTAAAACACCTTACAGCCTGGTGATATTCAATTTTATATTATCTATTTGTATAATAGGCAGGCATGTTTCTTTAAAACCTTTTTACTCAGCTCGTGTGCATCGCCCACGCATACTGTTAGAAAGACATTTACCTGTAGATGTGCAGAATCCCTTCATAAATTAAAATAGGCTCAAAATAAGCCCAAAAATGGAATTTAAAATTTAGAACAGAATATCATGGGTTTTATGCTGGTGACGAAATAACAACGCAATTTAAATAGAAAAATCTAAACAAATGGAAGAAATTCCAATCACATATTTTATTTACAGCGTAGGGGAAAATAGAGAAGACTGTACATTGCATATTTTTGGTCGAGTTAGGAATAAGAATAAGAATATCTTTATTGTCGTTAAATACAAAAGTACAATAGACAACGTCAGAACAAATACAATTTTTCTATGAATTAGGTATATTGTAGTGATACCGATAGAAAATAAGTTAAACAAGAATAAAAAAAACTATATATTAGATATTTGGCATCAAAAAATATCTTCCAGAGAATGAAATCTTCCAGGGAAGTTTTCGACCGGACGAACGCTAGGACTAATACAAATCTAATGGTGTCTGTCTGTGTGTGGGTTACTCAATCACGTAAAAACTAACTAATAAACCGATTGTGCTTAAACTTTACAAAAATATAACTACTCTACCAAGGAACCGTTTAGGACTATTGACGCTCCGATACTGACCGAGGGTTTTGCCCCTTTCACTTTCAAATTTCTGTAGTGATGATTTTAAAAGTAAATATTGATCGGTCTCCATGGCTGCAATGAGAACACCCACAGTGATTTCTTTTACACCAAACGACTAAATGATAACGTTATGACCAGAGGTGGTTCAAAGTCTCCTTTGGGTCAACCTCTAAACACCTTCTTAAGGTCTAAGGGTGAAGTTTACGTTCACCAAGTACACTATGGCGACTAAAACACATTTTTAGATTCGTGTGGAAAAGGTAAGGGGGGGGGGGGGATAAAGGGGTAAACATTAGTATTAGCTTAGTCACTATAAAAATGTTAGTATGGTTATGTTTCAATAACTTGTATTTTAAATACTTTTTTGTAGGGTAAAAGAAACGAATTCTGTAAACCTAAAACATCGTGATGTTCTACAGTAGTCCTTGAGTGATAGTAACTATCAGGTGTTCTGTTCAAGGTCGCAACATAATCTAGCGAGGCGAATGAGGCGTTGACATAAAAATGCAAAAATATACAACTATAACCAATTTCCCTCTAAAAATGAACTGTAAAACTTAAAACCGTGAACGTCATAAACTAGTTGTATAACCTCCATTTACTCATTGTTGTTGCTTCCCCTTGAACGCGTAAGGTGTGTATAGTGGTTTATTTACCTTTATTTTCTACCCACTCTAAAATTTGATATTCTGTACCATGGCATCCCCGTGATTATATGTCAACTAGCGTCGAAACTAAGTCATAGCAACAACTAATTTAATTTTGCTGAGTCATGATTTTGGAAGGGGGCGAAAATAAAGGTAGGCCTAATTGAACCACTCTATACTTTTTTTATTTTAAACTATTTTAAGACCTGTGAGCTATATAGTAAAATCTTATTTTAGTTTGGTACTTCAATGTTTATTGCTGATTGACAAACTAATATTTTACAAAATACTTTATTAATAAAAGGTCGTAATTTGTCTGCATTAGCTAGTGTTTCTGCGTTGTATCTACTATAGTAGACTATAGTAGCGCTTTGAATTGACGCAGTTTTCTTGGTTGACTGATTTTCTATGGTGGACGTTGTTAACTGATCTCCATCCTGTTAATTATGTCTGATTGAAATCAACAAAAAATGTCACATTTAAAAGCCTCACTTATTTGCCGGACTATTGTATTAAGTTAATACGTGTGTCTAACAACTTATGTCCGCTATTTCATAAAACAGCTCTTTATAGTTCATATTATATTTTCCATACTGCTAAAATGGTTTTTATTTAAGTTCGGATTTTTGCTCATTGTTGTCAGTTCGCACTTTTACTTTTCACGCACATTTCTTATTTTATTTAGCCATCTTTCAATGTATAGTCGGAGTAAGTTTGTTTGATAAATTTTCAAATCACAATTTTTAAATCAATGTGTAACTGTGCATGCTAATAAAAGATTAACATCAGCTTCCCATAGAACGTACTCGCAACTGATAACACATAGGCTGCATGGGATGTGGAGAACCGTTTCCGCTTAATCATCCTCAAACCATAACCACTTCCCATGGTCTAATACAATAGACCTGGTAGTCAATCCCCCCCTGGTAATATTAGTAAAGTAATACAGTTAAATTTGTTGCAACCTTTTAAGGCCATCGATAAAAAAATATAGTCTATAGCACATCAAAACTAAGCTCAGTTTGTATAGACCCGCCAATCATTATCGGTATGAACGAATTACCTATGTCCCACAAAACGATTTCCAAAGGGCTGTGTCTTACAGCTGTCGAAGTTTAGATTATTTTATTAAATGCACAACAGCTGGTCGATGCAATCAACAGCTGTTCGTTTATTTACTGGAATTTCAATGGTGCTTTGTTTACATTGAGGAAATTTGTTGGCTATTTAGTGAGAGGACTATGTTCGTTTGGTAGTCAGATCTTTGTAGAATATCGCTCATCTGTTTTTTACATGTAATTTATTTCAAAATCTACAGGTAAAGAGGCTTGACTGAAATTGAAGTATAATCATATTTTTTTATGAAACGTCAATAATAAGTAATTTATGTTATTGCTACACTAGAGTATGTTGTTAGATTCTTTTGTGTCTATTGACTTCGAATAGGTGTTCACTTTTGAATAAGTTTATTTTTTTTTCAAATTAAATTATAGATTAAATCCAAATATGTGACACTTGTACATTTTAATGGTTACCTAGAAAATTTAACCCCCTTCCCGTTATCTAAATTTAGAGAATAGAAATTTACTACTTCTATAACGAATAATAGATGTGTAAATATATCATAGGCCTACAGCAGACATTTTTTAGAATAAACTATCCATCATCCCCTTTTTATATCACATGTAAGTCAATTATCTAATTTATTTATATGCATTGATTGACATCAGATAATTATTTAAACTACAATGGGACCCGTGCATGAACTGCGTAGTTTAATAGGGTCCAACACTAGTTTTCGAGGCTAAATTGATCCAGTGCAATGCCAATTTACCTTTTCAAGATTATGTTTGTTTGTGTAATTTATTAAGTGACTACTGACTAGAGCAGTAAACAGTAATTTACTTATCTCAATCAGATCGTAGTTGTCAAAAAAGTATCCTACTGTATTTAAAATACATTTTAAAGAACTGTTTATAGTCTGTTTTTTATCTGACTGTGGTTAAAAATTCAACTAAAGGAATAGCTGTTAAATTACAAATCACATTTAAGCCGTTATAAAGAAGGTTATGTTAGCATAACTGGATCTATGAAAATTGACTCTATCAATGAATTCAACATGAAGGCACAGAAAACATAGTATGTTGAAGGGGACAAAGTCCTAAAGGAAATTACCATTTTCCATAAGAAGGACAACTGGAAAAGGGATGTATCAAAGAGACACATTTTTGTATTAAGTAAATACAGTAGATGGATTTGCAAATGTATAATTGTCATTCTGAGGGCCACTACCGTTATAAAAAACCATGCTGATATTTTTACTTGATATACTTAAAGTTAATCAAGTAATCGTTTTTGTTATGATTATTTTAATTTGTTATTCGTCGAAAAAACACGATGACGAAAAGCTGTTGCACTCTGATGAATTACATATCCATATAAAGGTTCATCAACTAATAAATGCAAATACAATCAAGAACAAAGCGTAAACTAAATTAACAAACCATTTTAATGTGAAACTGAGTATTGTTAAGTGAAAGGTAAATTTTTAGCCACAATATCTAAACTAAATTTTTAAACTAATCTTAAATATTTATAAGATAAAAATTCG